CACCTGGGCACGGCTGCCATCCCCTGCTGCCCGGGAATTTGGGTGGTTTTAGGGAGCCCCAATCCAGGTTTCCAGGATTTTGGGTGGGCAGTGTTGCCTCTCCTTGTGCAGGCTGCCATGAGAAATGCTGCTCAGGAAAGGTCTCTCAGCTTTGCTTTGGACTTCCTATGATGGAAAAGTCCTTCCTTAACGCCTCCATCCTCAGGGAAGCCTCACACAAGCGGAGAGGGAGAAGCTCAACCAAGTTCACTGTGTAGCAAAGTGGGAAAGTGAAGGTTCACATCCTTCCTGGAGTGCTCCCGACCTTCCTGTTGGAAGTGTTTGCAGGAACACTTTGATCTCTCTGGGATAGAGCTGATCCCATGGCCAGGCAGCTTTTCTGGATGCAGCTGAATCCATTCCCAACCCAGCAGCTTCCAAAGGGAAGGACCCAATTCCTGTGCTAGCTTTGGGATGATTTTTGTCTGCACAGGTGTAAAGGGATGGCTTTGTAGGATCCCCCATCATCCCACGTGCCAAAATCCTTGGGAAAACCAGGCTTGGAGGGTCAGGGTCACCCTGGCAGCGCGGGAGGCTGGGTGTCATCCTCCTGCCTGCAGGCACTGAGAGGTTTCTTTCCGGTGAAGGAATTGAGATTTTTGGTGGAAATTCAAAGAGTGAGAAGCTCTGGCGGGCATCCAGGCTATGCTGGCGCTTGGGGTTTCAATGAGAGAGAGAAAAAAAGGGAAAAAAATCCCTGAAACTTTCCACGGGAAGCAGGCATTTCCCACAAGACATGGATTTAGTTGGTGGTCTGGCAGTAATACCAGTACAAACCAGCTTTGGCCACCAGTTCATACCAAAGGGGGACTTGTGGGTCCCCTGCAAATGCCACTCGTGCCCACCTGGGGCAGGAATATTGAATTTAGAGACTCAGTGTCACTTTTCCCAAATTAATTATCATCCAAACTGCCCCAGCCTCTGCTGTCCCCATCGCTGCCTGTCCATCTGTCTGTCCATCCTTCCCTCCCTTCCCAACCCTGCCTGGCAGCTCAGCATCCCCAGGGAGAGCATTTTATCAAAAATATTTGGTGTTTATCCCTTGCTTGTGTGCCAAGGGTCTTCTGGGGCCTGATTAGGGGTGGCAAAGCTGGAATGAGCTGGGAAATAGAATCACATCCCACAGGGAATTTATCCCTCTGAGCTCCATCCCAGCTCCCCACGGCCGGGGGTGATGCCAAGGTTTGATGTCCACGCTAGGAAAGGAGCATTCCTCCCTAATTTAGCAGTGTTTGAGTGATTCCTGCTGGTAATTCCTGCCTTCCAGGAATGCTGGGGAGAGGGAGCTCCACATTTTAAGCTGCAGTTCCCCACAGACCTCATGGAGCTGCGTCCCCCCCCCCCGCCTGGGAGGTTTGTTTCCAACTCTCCTGTGCATCCAGAGGAGAATTAACTGCTTTGGTGTGTGTGGCCCCGCGTTTGCTCACGGAAAAGCCAAGTAAATAGATGAGATTGCTGGGGAAACTTCAGAGAAAAAAAAATCAGCCACAGCTTCTCCCACCTTCCCCTCCCTGGGGTTCCTGAGCATCCCCGAGCAGAGCTCGCAGGATTCTCTCCACCCACACTTTTTTCCCCTTACTTTGAGCTCTTCCCACCCTCTCCCTGCAGCGTTTCACCCTCCTCCCTCCCTCCCTTCCTCCCCCCTGAACCCTGCTGCTTTGCCGAGCTCCAGGTGCCCCGGCGGGGCCGTGAGGGGCCGGGGCGCTCCCGCAGCCCCGCGGGCTGGGAACGCTCCCGCCTGTGACTCAGCGCGCTCGGCTCTTCAGGAACGGCATTTCAAGGGATTTCACACCCCAAACACAACCCCAGCTTTCTCTCGCTCAGCAGAAACGAGACATCAGCAAAGGAAAAAAAAAGCAGCACCGATTCTGGTTTTTCTTTGGTGTTTATAGAGCTTTGAAGGTACCAGGGAGATGCGTGGAATTCGTGGCACTGATGGATATGGATCCATATGGATCCACCTTGCCCTCACCCCTGACTGATGGATATGGATCCATATGGATCCACCTTGCCTTGCTTTGGGGTGCAGGGAGGTTGTGTGGGGCTGACCCCAATCAAAGGGACCCACAAGGACCATCCAGACACCCCAAAATCCCACCCTGGGAGCGTTGTTCAAATGCTCCTGGAGCTCTGGCAGCCTCGGGGCTGTGCCCATTCCCTGGAGGGCTGTCCCAGTGCTTATCCCAGCCTTTGGGGGAAGAATCTTTTCCCCTCAGTTTATTTTTATTATCCCCATCATGCATTTTTTTAACCTCTTGATTTTGAAGCAGAGGGTTGTGATGGTGCTGTCTCAGCTGCACTTTGTCCCCCCCACAATTTTGCAGGCAGGGACACAACTCCCAGAGGGACAAAACTTGGGTGCCAGCAGCGCTTTTGAGGCGTGGGGTGAATCCATTTGGTTTAAAAGCGCCAATAAAATCCATACCTTTCATCTTTTTTTTTTTTTCTTCCTTCTTTCTCTCCTTCTCATCCATCTTCTCCCCCCCCCCACCCTCCCAGAGTATCATATTAAAAGGCAGTGATTTAAAAACCAGGAAAATTATGTAAAATCGTAAAATAGAACAAAAACCTCCAATAATTGAGGAACAGACCTGACTTGCACAGGGTTATTTTTTTTAGAGGTTTTACTGAGACAGACATAATTACCAAGTGGCATCACGATGCTGATGGAGATATTTACTGCTGCACTGGAGATTTGCAGCGCTCCACTGACTTCCCTTTGTTTCTGGGAGGAGAAAAGGGATTTTTGGGATTCTTTGGTGGGGTGAGGATGGGGAATGGGATGGAGCAGCACCCCCTGTGCTCCCTCTGCCTTCCCTTCCCAGCTCTGATCTCCAACCAGTGGCTTTTCCTATCCCAAATTCCCTGGATTGAACCATTTTTCCAGTGACAACACCAGGTTGGGATGCTCTCTGTGTCCCCCATAGGGACAGCTTGTGCACAGGTAATTCTTTAATCACCTTTTTAATTGTCCTTTCCCATTATGAACCAACCTGGCTACAGCTCCTTGCTTTGTTCCCACCCTGCAAACTGGTTTTAAGTGGGATAACACTCCCCTGAGTAAAATCCTCATTTTTTTTTATCCTTTCACCACCAAGTTGGTACCATCACTTCCAAAAACATCAAGTGACAGAGTGGTGCCTCATTTTGGTTTATATTTGACCCACAGAGGAAAACACAAAGGGAAAAAAAAAAAAATCCATATATTTTTGTTTTCTTCCTGTAAGGCACCACACCCCCGGTTATTGACAGGGAAATTATACAGCAGAGTGATGTTTGTTTATAAAAGGAGGGTGATTCACACTGCCACAGGAGCTGGAAAGGGTTAAACCCAAAATTACACCGGTCCTGCTGGAGAACCATAAACAGGAAGTTCTCCCGAAAAAAAATATTTAAATTTAAACCTGGTGACTCAGGTTGGCTCCAGAGCTGCTCAGGGAGGGTCACAGGGGGTGCAGCCCTGGATTATTCCAGTGGGTAATTACAGCCTTGGCTTGAAAACAACGGGAAAAGTGGGAAGAGCAAGGGTTGGAGTTTGGATAATCAGGTTTTTTTGCTTCGTCCTGCCCCTTCTTCCACTACAAATTCCTTCTCACAGTTGGATTTTCCAGCAGGTTACACTGATAAAAATATTTCCTGGGGGTCTAGCTGTTGTTTGGAGCAGTGCTGGGGGCTTGGAAGTGGAGCTGGTGGGAAGAAAATGGAAAACCAGCAGTGGGAAAAGCCAGACTGGGAGGCAACAACACAAAATCCCAAAATCCATGGTTTTATCTCAAGTTTTGTGTAGCAGCATGAGAGTTTGGGCTGGTCCAGTCCAAATTCTCAGGAGGGGACTCAGACACTTTTCCAGAAGCTCCTGGTGCAGATTTGGGATGGGAAATTGCAAGTGGAAGATTCCATTGGAAAGGAATGGGATGAAGCTGAGCTGTAGGTGAAACATCTTTGGCAAAAAACCACTTTAATGTCATTATGACCTCAATTTTTTTTCTATTTATTTAAAGCATCACAACCCAGAAAACATTTGGGAGATTTTGGCTGAGATGCTTTAACCAAGCAGCACCTCTTTAACTTAATTAAATCCATTGACAACAGCAGCTGAATTCCTGGATTTTCATTATACTGATAGGTGAAAGAAATCCAATTATTTTCAGGCTGCCTGCGTGGTTGCTCCCAGCTGACCCAGCCACCCTTACATATGTTGTGTAATTTATTTAGAGTACTCTTCTCATTCAGGTAACCCAGATTTTCCTGGGAATTAGGGATTTTAAGAATGAAGGCTGTGCTGGCAGGTGAGCCTCTCCTCCAGCTGTTGGAGCAGAGGAATCCTTTGAAGCAGCTCTCAGCAGCTCCAGACACCGGCTTGTTACTTTTTTTTAATATCCTCTTTCTAAATATTTACAGGCTCTGTTTGGGATTTTTTTTTTTATTTTTTTTTTTAGTATTATTTTATCCTCCCCAGCAGATTTGGTTTGGAGCAGAGTGAGTTCTTCAGCTGCTTGTGGAGCATCCTTGCCTTGCTTTGGGGTGCAGGGAGGTTGTGTGGGGCTGACCCCAATCAAAGGGACCCACAAGGACCATCCAGATGCCCCAAAATCCCACCCTGGGAGCGTTGTTCAAATGCTCCTGGAGCTCTGGCAGCCTCGGGGCTGTGCCCATTCCCTGCAGGGCTGTCCCAGTGCTTATCCCAGCCTTTGGGGGAGGAATCTTTCCCTAAAATCCAACCTGGCTCTCCCTTGGTGCAGCTCCAGCCTGGGTGCCGTTCCCTGGTTCTGTCGCTGTCACAGAGCAGAGAGCTGCCCCTCTGCAATGCTGAGAGGTCTCCCCACAGTCTCTCCCACCTCTCTGGGGGTGCACAGTGCACAGAATGGGGGGCTGCCAGCTCAGGACACCCCCGCTGCCCCCCAAAGCCACCCCCAGCCCCAGCGCTGCTCACACATCCCCTTCTCCTCTCTCTTTTCCAGGATCCCGTTCAAGATCGGGCAGCCCAAGAAACAGATTGTACCCAAGACAGTGAGTAAACCAGTTCCCCCTTTTTAGCTCCAGCCTTGGATCATGTGGCTGATGAGTCAAGCCAGCACTTTGACTCGTCCCATTTTGCAGCGTGTGGGAGGGAGCTGGAGCAGCAGAACCTGTTGCCGCGTGTGACCAGCGCTCGGCTCCTCGTGCGAGGAGGAGCGAGGGGGAGCCCCATGCAGGCAGAATATTTTGGTTTGGGAGCTGTTGAAATTAGAATTTTTTTAAAATTTTTTTAGTTTTTTGGGAGGGGTGTGAGTGTGTGTGCGGGGTAGGGGAAAAGAGCTCCCTTGGTCTGGCACAGTTTTCCTCGGAGATGGCTGAACGGGTTTGCTTCCTTCCTTCCTTCCTTCCTTCTTTCAGCAATGGCTTGTTTGTTCATCCTTTCGGAGCAGATGGAGGAGGAGGAGTGGTTCAGATCGCTGAATATAACTGTTTCCAAAGAAAGGCTTATAAGCTGAGATGCTTAGTGCTCGGGCGTGAATTAATTTGTGCTGCACAGCATTTGCTTTAAAAGCAAATTAAAAAAGCATTTTGTATTCCCGTGGATTTGAGGCTCCTACCCCAAGTGCTGCTGCTTGCAGCTGGCTGTGGTATTTTCCCTTCTCAAAGCAGCTTGGCTTTGCATTTGTCCCATGCCAAAAAAAAGCTGTGGAACCTCCCAGGAGCTGGCCCTGAAAACTCACCTGGATGCCTGCTCTGAAAAGGGAGCCCGTGGGGCAGAGCTTGTCCCTGTGGTGGCACTGGTGCCCTAATCCCCTGCACAGACTGACATCCCTGATCCTTCCTCTCCGGGACACCCAGCTAATTCCGCAGGATGCGTGGGCACCCGAGTTTGTGGGGCAGTTTCTCCTTGGGACATGACATTTCCCTGGAGGCAGAGGGCTAATCCCACCACTCCCTTCAGGGCTTGATTGTCATGTTTTATTTTAAAGGATTTGGTGCTTGCCTGCTGCCGTGGAGCAGCAATTTTCTGTAACAGCTCCAAACTGTCAGTACAGAATTTAAGCCAGGCAGGCAATGAAGACAAGGACTGATAAAATTCCTCCGTGGTTCTCCTGTGATTTCAGCTGCCCTTTTCCAGGGGCTGGTGATCCACCAGCGAGGTGCTGCTGCCTGTGATCCCTCAGGTGAGGCAGCCCAGCCCCAGCCCTTCACAGCTCTCCCTGCTCGTGTCAGGAGCTCCCACATTCCTTGCTCTACAACATTTTGCTTTTCCCAGTGCTCCCAACACTGATGGCCTTCCAGGCTGGGGCAAGAACCAACTGCTCTGCAGTTCTGGGTGTCTTGGCCAGCTCTGCTGGGCATCTCCAGCCCACCCATTCTCACATCCCGGTTTAATATATTCCATTCCTTGCTGTTTCCTTCCCCTTTTAGAGGTTTTTCTCCCCTAAAATCAGCCATCTCTGTGTTCAGGCTCCCTGCAGATGAGTGGTGGCACCTCTGAGATCTTCCCTTCCCCGGAGCTGCTGGAATGTGCTGTTCTGAAGCAGTTGGCAGCCTTTGCTTATATATACATGTGTGTGTATTAAATAGAACAGCTCAGAATATCCGGCAGGCAGAGGTTCATTCAGCACCCAGAGCCTTTCCAGGCCTTTTCCTTTTCCTTCCTTCCTTCCTCAGCTCCCTAGGAACAAGGAACAAGATTCAATGTCAACAAAGTTGATTTCTAAAAGGCTTCCACTTGCCCTGGAATGATGATAATGATGGTGGTGGTGGTGGTGTTGCTCTCCAGGCACCAGATAGAGGGAAAGCAGAAAACAGGAAGCCCAAAACCTTGGAACTTCACACCCAGTGTGGAGTGCAGCTCTTCAAAGCAGAACAAAGGGCAGGAAACCACGGATATCCCCCAGGATCAGGCACTCCATGTGCAGTGGTGTGCAAGGGATGGGGCTGCTTTGATGGTGTGCAAGGGATGGGGCTGCTTTGACCTGCAGGGCCCCAGATTTACCTCCCAGTTGCAGGCTGAGCCGCTCCATCTGTGCAGGCGTTGGGGAACAGCAGCAGCAGCAGCCAAGGGCTGGGATGTTCCAGATGTTGGGCTGCAGGAAGTGGGAAGGTGTGGCATCTCCAGGGCTGCATCCCAAGCCCATCAGAAGGGAAGTGGTTGTGGGGAGAGGATCTCCCACTCACAGAGACCGCACCACAAAAGAGGAGGTGAGGGGGAAGGATTAAAAGAAAGCAGCATTTGTGAGGATGTAACTTCCTTGGCTCTCCATGAGGCCTGGGACTGGAATCAGGAGAAGGGGGTGGCTTTGCTGAGAGGCTCAGCCAGCCAGAGAGGCTTTTTTGTTGTCTCAGTGCTGGGGCTGGTGTCAGATCTAGGCCGGGAGTAGTCCTGAAAAGCAATTTGCCTGGGCTGCCGAGGAATTAGTCATGACTGGCTGTGCCCACTCGCCTGTGATCCTTTGGAGAAGGGCACGGTGTCAGGCACAGTTTAGCTCCAGAGGGAGAAGGAAACCCCGGTAAGAAAATATCAGCTGGTGAACTGAGGTGATCTCCCCCTCCCCAGACATGGCTGTGCTTTGTTTCCACCTTAACCTGGGCAAATCCAATTCCAGACAGCCTAATCTCTCTCCCCTCCTCTTGCCTGAAAAGAGCAGCTGTCACCGGGCTCGGGGAGCCGGGTGGGAGGATCTAATGCTCCGAGAGGACCTGCTGTCAGCAGGGCCACGGGCCCACAGCCCAATTAAACTAATGCCCAGTGATAGGAGTTAAACCTGTTAGAATTATATCTCTGCATGTTTATTGCTCAGCCACGAAGCCTCTTATGGCAGAGATGTTCTTCCCTCGCTCGGGACAGCTCCGCTCCCAGCAGAGGCTGCGCTGCCGTCGGAGCTGTCTCGTCTGCCCAGCTCTCCTGCAGCTGCTGCTGAAGTTCACCTGTGTCCCCCCAGGTTGTTCCCTGCCCTTCACCGGGGCTGGGATGATCCAAGCAGGCAGGAGCTGGCCCTGCATCCCCCCAGTGAGGTTTTACCTCCCTCCCTGCTTCGCTCGGCCCTGCTCTGGCCTGGGCTGACTCAGACCGCTCGCCCTCCTCCTCCTCCTTGCTGGCCTGAGTCAGCTTGGCAGGGAGTGGAGACCTGAGCTGCCAAACCTCCTTTCCTTGACTCATCCCAGCAGCTCTGCCTTCCCCAGGGGTGTCGGCCAGAGGAGCCCTGTGAGCAGCAGGATTCCGCTGCAGCCCTTTCCATTGGGCTCCACCAGCGAGCTGGAAATCCCAGCACAGTGGAGTGAATGTCATGGGAATGGTGGGGTGAATTCAAGTGATGCCAGTTAAATAGTTTTGCTGGTTTTCCTTCAATCTTTTCGGGCCAAACTGGTCTCTGCAGTTGGGAGGTGCCTCCTTTTTTCCTTTTGTCACTTTTCTGGGAAGTTTCTTGCAGGATGGGGATGTGGAGATCTTGCTGGGTGGAGTCTGTGACATCCCAGATCCACCTGCACTCTGCAGCTCTGGCTCAGAATATTCACCCATGGGACTTCCCTTGAAATTCTTGATGGGATGGCAGGAGCTCAGCAGAAAAATCTTAGTTCTAATTTCTATGGGTTTCACTTTTTTTTGGAGAAGAGGAAGAAGGAAACACTTCCCTCTTTTTCCCAAAATCCACAACGATGCTGAGACCACTGGGAGATGCAGAAATCAGCTCATCTTCCTCCTCCAGGAAAAAAACATGAACCCCAGGGGGATGGGAAGGTTCCTCACAGTCCCTCATTTCCATCTCTTTGTAGTGTTGGCTTCAGCCTTGCTCCATTGCCTCATAACCAGGCTGGTGATGCTGATCCTGTGCCCTTCAAGCAGGAGGGATCTGATCACAGGTGGGAGGCCCAGTGTTTGCAAACAAAAAAAAAAAAAAAAAAGAACTGGGTGAAGGAGAGAACGTTGTTTTATTTCAAAGCTTTCGAGAGCTCGTCGCTCTTGATGTAGATTTAAATAAAAACCCCGAGACGAGCGATTTTTGCATTACCCAGCCCCTGTGCCTGGAAGAAGGAAAAAAAAAACCTTTCAATACAGAAAGTGTGGTTTGATTTGGAGTTTTCAGAGAGAGGCTGCAGAGCAGTGGGATTATTTTAATAATACGGAAACTTCCCTCCAGGATATTGTAATTTTCTTGCCTGTACTTCTTGTTCTCGTTACTCTTAACGTGCTAATCCTCTCCACAGCCTCTGTCGGCTGCGTGTGACCGTGGAGAGCTGCTGGCAGTGGGAATTACTGTGTGCTCTGCAAAATGTTCCCAAGCTTGTCCTCCTTGCAGCTGGGAGCACGTGAGAGCAGCTTTTCCCTCTGTTTTTGTGGGATACCCAGGCTCCAGCCACGGCTGGGAGCCTCCCTGAGCTCGCAGACTGTGGGGACTGGGAGCCAGTTGCTGCCTGTGGGCGTGAAAAATAAGAGCAATCCTTGGGCAGCTGTCTCAGAGGGATGGGGCTGGGGATGTGAGTCAGGCTGGGCAGCTCAAGTGTGTCTGTGTGGAGTCACCTCGATGCCGTGTGGATCCTGCTCCGGCGCCGGGGTGGGGGCTTGGGGGAGCTCGGGAGGTTTGGGGGGTTCACAGCACCCAGAGGGTCGCAGGGTGGGGAGGTTTTGTCTCTGTGGAATGAATCCTAAAGTCCCAGAATGGTTTGGGTGGGAAGGGAGCGTTAAACTCATCTTGTTCCACCCCCTGCCATGTGCAGGGACCCCTTCCCCTGTCCCAGGGTGCTCCAAGCTGGCCTTGGGCGCTTCCAGGGATGGAGCAGCCACAGCTTCCCTGGGAATTCCATCCCAGCCCCTTCCTAAAATCCCACCCCAATCTCACTTGTCCCGGTTTGAAGCCATTCCCTGTGTCCTGTCCCTCCATCCTTGTCCCCAGTCCCTCTCCAGCTCTCCTGGAGCCCCTTCAGGCCCTGCAAGCTGCTCCATATCCATTAAGGCACGATGCCTTTTGCTTACTGCACAGAAACAGGCAAATCTGACAGCAAAAAAGGGGCCAGAAACCCTGAACATTCACAGGTATTCCACAGCCAAAGCTTTTGGAGGAGCTGGTTGCTGAGCAGATCCTCCTAACCACAGAGAGGCAACAATAAGGGAACGACACCCCCAGCCTTTCAAAGGGGGGCACATTTTCGAGTCGTGCCCGACCCTGTGTGGTTTGCAACCAAAACAATTCACACCTAAGGCCTATTTATAGAGTGCAATAGAGTCCCTGGGGATTTTAGCAGCCGGAACAGGCACGGGGATGGAGGGTGAGCTTTACTATGTGCTGGTTACCTGACCTGCAGGGCGCCAGCTGCCGCGCATTTCTGCGCTCCCCGAACGCCAGGCACAAGTCGTGTGAGCTGCCCCCACACTGCTCCGTGGCTGTTCTCTCCAGCACCCAATTTTAGCAGCACGAAAAGGGAGCTGGAGCTCCTGGGAGGGTTTTTTTGGAGCAGAGGGATGGGAGGGGGGAGAGAGAGAGAGAGCCCAGCTCGCATCCCCCGGATGGTGGGAGCGGATGGTGAGGACAGCTGGGAGCTGGGATGGGGCTGGAATGTGGCTGGGCACTGCCTGCCCTCAGATCAGGCTGCTGGAGTTCAAGTGCAGCCCAAAAAGGTGTTTAAAAAAGGAGATTTTAAGAAAATCTCCATCTTCAACCCCCTCAAGCTTTTAACAGCAATTCTGCTTGAAAAGCAAACATCCCCGTTAAATTGTGGTGCTGCATCGAGGCTGGGATTGAAATCTCAGGGCCAGCAGGAAGAATTGGAACAAACCTTTGGATCCTTCTAGTCCTGGCTGCTCGCAGCGCTCTGCATTTCCTTAATAGCACGGGAGCTTGACAACACAAGTGAACCCAGCGCTGATCCCATGACAACAAACGCGCACGGATTTACTCTTGGCTGGTCAATTGAAATCCATTTGCTTCTCTGGTTGACGAGGTGTGGAATGAATGTTTTAAGTGTGTTAAAACAGTCAGCATGGAAAGAAAGTTCCTTAAAATATCTCCTATCACTGGAGGTTTGCTGCCAGCTAGCAAGTAGGAGGGAGCAGGCACTGAGGTAGCATCGGGAGAAGGCTGTGCTGGAGCTCAGAGCTCGGAGCTCAGGGTTCCCCTCCCTTTTGGAGGTGTCACAGTGCACTGGGGTTGTGCTCCAGCCCAAGAATCTCATGGGAGGGAGCGGTTGTAGGGATAAGGAGTGTGTGTAGGGGGTGAATAATGCAGAGATGGTGGTTTGGGGGGGATTTCACCATCCTGATGAGGATGAGGAAGGAGGAAACAGCCAGACCCACCTCAACGGGGCAGGAGGAGCAGCAGCTCCCCTCTGTTTTTGGGAGAGAACACAGGTTTGTCCCCCAGCACTGAGCCATGCTGGGTTGTGACTTCCCTGCCTTTCTAGCATTCCCATTTATTCCATCAGCTCCCAATCCATGTCCTGGAGCACGTCCTTGGCTCATATTTGGTGCTGGCTCCAAGAGAGTCTGGAGCTCCAAATCCCCAACTTTTGAGGTGTAACTCCCATGAAAGCTGCAGCTTGTGCTGGGCTCAGCTCAGCATTTCCCAGGGACAGCTTTCCCTGCCCTGCAGTCCCCTGGAGCTGATTTCCATCTCTTCTTTCCACAGGTGGAGAGAGACTTTGAAAGGGAATATGGGAAGCTGCAGCAGTGAGTATCAACCACACTGGTCAGACAGGACTGGCCACATGCTTCCCTCCTCCCATTGCATCTTCCCAGGGAATTTTAGCCAGGGATGCTCTTCCCAGTGAGCAAATCCCTCACTGCCCTGTAATTTCCAATTCTTCAGGGTTTTCTCTGACTGTTCAAAGGTGTCCTCAGAAGTATTTGCAGATTCTGGCAGCTTAAAAAAAAAAGAAAAAGTGTAAAATTGCCAGAAAACTGCGGGGTCCCTGTAGAGGCCAACAGCTCAGAGGACCAGGAGTGGCTTTGCCATTCTGCCTGTGTCACAGGAGCTCACAGGGATCATCTGGAAGCATTTGGCTTTACCATTTGTGCTAAGTGTGAGAACTTTCAGGAAATATGCGAACTATGAATAAGAGATCACCAACTTGAAAAGGTTAAAAACCATCTGAAAACAACCCGAAAGGGTTGAGCTGCACTGAACTTCATCAAGCCTTGCCTGGATATTTTTAACTCCCACCAGAAGCCAGCATATTCAGCCCGTAAATGATTTGTTGCACGTATGATACACTTGGGTTTCTTTCTTTCCAAGATTCCGACTTTGCCTTCTTTCTCCCATCTTTCAGATTGGAAGATCAGACCAAAAAACTTCAGAAGGATATGAAGAAAAGCACAGATGCAGATTTGGGTAAGTGACTGGAGGATACATAGACTGTGAACTTGGCCACAGAGAGATGAAGTGACTTTTCTCGAGATCACATGAGTAATGTGTGACAAGTCTGGAAAACAAATCCAGAGCTCAGTCCCACTCAGTTTGCTTAGTTACAAGGCCATCTGCGAGAGGCAGCTCAGCCCAGGGAACACAGGGAGTGCTGCGGGCTCAGTCCCCCTCTCCTCAGCTCCATGGCCTTGGACAAATCCCTTCCTTTTGTTTGCCTCAGTTTCTGCCACTGAAAAAACCCAGGAGTCGTTGTTCAGTCTCAGATTATCCAGCAGGAGCAGCTCCAGCTGAGCCCATTGTGCCAGCAGTGCTTTTTCACCTCCTTCAGTGCTCCTTTCACCTCCCTCTCTGGAGCCCCAGAAGGTGGGATGGGTCTGGGGGGCACAGCTGGCCACATCTGGCCGCGTTTCCCGTGGGAAATGCTGACCTGGCAGCTCTCCTTTGGGAATAACCCAGCTCATTCCCTCGCTGCCTGCCTGTTTTGGCTTCCCCTCTGGCAGTGGGCGATGGAGGAAGCAATAAACAGCTCTGCCTGCACGTTTGGGGTGACATCTGCCCTTTGCAGGTGTCCTGTGCCGTGTCCCAGCTCCCTTCACATCCCTCTGCTTGGAACCTGCTGTGCCCAGAGAGGGATCCAGCACAGGGGAGCTGGGTTTGCTGGATGCTGGTTGCTGAACCTGCAGGAGGGAGCTGTTCCAAACCCAGATGGTTTTTCCCTGTGTGGTTTGGAGCAGTCCCTGTGTGGCCCCCACAGCTCCGGAGCCAAGGCAGAGGCAGCAGCACAAACAGGTGTGGGCTGCACTGGGCCTGCGCTCAGCCCGCGGGACTGGGGTCAGGGCAGGGCAGGGCGGGGGGAAGGAGGCAGAGCTGGGGCTTTCCATGGTCCAGGGTCTCACCTGAGTGTGTGAGTGTGAGTGTGAGTGTGAGTGTGAGTGTGTGTATATCTGTGTGAATATTGCCTGACACAAACACAGATCCCGCCTCTCACCTCTGGGTGTGTGTGTGTGTCTGTGTGTCTGTGTGTCTGTGTGTCTGTGTGTCTGTGTGTGTGTCTGTGTGAATATTGCCTGACACAAACACAGCAAACACAGATCCAGGGTCTCACCTGTGTGTGTGAGTGTGTGTGTGAGTGTGTGTGTGTGTGTCTGTGTGTATATTGCCTGACACAAAAACAGATCCAGGCTCTCACCTCTGTGTGTGTGTGTGTGTGTGTGTGTCTGTGTCTGTGTGTCTGTGTGAATATTGCCTGACACAAACACAGCAAACACAGATCCAGCCTTTCACCTGTTTGTGTGTCTATTGTGTGTATGTATGTGTGTGTCTGTGTCTCTGTGTGTGTGTCTGTGTGGATATTGCCTGACACAAACACAGATCCAGGCTGTTCCTCTGTGTGTGTCTGTGCCTGTGTGAATGTGTGTGTATATTTGTGTGTTTGTGTGTGTGAATATTGCCTGACACAAACACAGATCCAGGCTCACCTCTGTGTGTGTGTGTGAGCGTGTGAATGTGTTTGTGTGTGTGTGAATATTGCCTGACACAAACACAGATTCAGGCTCTCACCTGTGTTTGTGTGAGTGTGTGTTTTTGTGTGTGTGTGTCTCTGTGTGTGTATTGTGTCTGTGTGTGTGTGAATATTGTGTGTGTGTCTGTGTGTGTGTGAATATTGCCTGACACAAGCACAGATCCAGCCTGTTACCTGTGTGTGTGAGTGTGCATGTGAGTGTGTTTGAGAGAGTGTGTGTGTATTTGTATTTGTGTGTCTGTGTGTATGGATATTCCCTGACACAAACTCAGATCCAGGCTCTCACTTGTGTGTGCGTGTGAATGCGTGAATGTGTGATTGTGTGTGTGTGTGTGTGTGTGTGGATATTCCCTGACACAAACCCAGATCCAGGCCCTTCCCCTGCTCTCCCACCCTTCCCAGCACAGGCAGAGGGCTGGGAGAAGCCCCAGCCACCCAGAACTCTTTTCCAGTGTAAAATCTGCCCTTCCTGAGGACTCTGGTCATTGTCAGGGATCCTTGGTAAGTTTTTCCTTGTTCAGGATTCCCCTCCCTCCCTTGCAGTGGGCGTTGTTTATATGGAGCATTTCAAGTCCCAGAGGAGCTGTGGGAGGACTTTCTTTTTCCGTTCTGTTCCATGGCAGAGTCACAAATGAGCCTTGGCCAGGGCCAGGATGATCTGATTTCTCATTTAAAGGCTTGAAATGGTGAGTGGAGGGAGAGGTACAGCACACAGCCTGCTGAGGGAGGGCTGGAGGAGAAGGAGCTGGATCAGATCAATCCTGGCAGTGCCCATTTTTGACATCCAGCCCCCAAATCTGGTGAGGATGGCAGAGTTTTGCCCTCCTGTCTCGTTCCTCCAGGCTCAGGGGTTTGGTTGGTTCTTCACTCCCTGGCAAAGTGGGACTGGTGGCTCGAGTCTCCACCTTCTTCCCAAAAAGCTCAGCTCAGAACAGGAGAATTCCTGTGCACAGAAATATCCCAGGCAGGCTCCACCAGCAACCAGGGAATGGGCTGATAGCAGCACTGCCTGCCCCAGGACTGGACAGCACTCACCCAATTCCCCACCCTCTTTCCAAACAAAATAGATCTTAAGAAGCAGGAGGATGTTCTTTAACTGGAGGTGAAAGCTCTCCTTTGGAATAATTAATTAGAGTTACATCTCACATGTTTAATGAGCAAAAGTGCAGTGCAGACTCTCCTGAAGGCCACCCCGAGGGACAGGAGATCCTTTCTCCTCCTCCTCTTCCTCCTTCTCCTCCTCCTCTTCCTCCTTCTCCTCCTTGTCCTTCTCCTTCTCTCTCCTGCCCTGGCACTCTCAGACCCCACTATTTCAGCTCTCTCCAGGTGATCCCACTGATGCAGAGGAAATTCCTGCCCCAAATTCCCCCTGAATGCACCCAAACCCCCCCAATTCCCAACCTCCCAGCGTGACCCTGCCACTCCCTCCCTCCATCCCCTTCCAATCCTTTCCTGTCAAGGAAGGTTTCATTTTTCCTTCCAGCCAAAGGAGTTGTGCTGTTCTCAACTCCGTCCTGTCCTGGCACAAATCCCTGCTCAGATGTGGTCACACATATGGATTCTATCCCATCTGTTTCAAGGTTTAAATGCCCAAAGCCTTCATGTTTGGATAATAAATGGATACAGTGGCTTTGTTATCCCAGAGTGAGAGGCTTGTTCTGCACTGAGCTCCCCAGCTCTGCAGCTTCTGAGCTCTCTCTGGTATAATTGTGTGTAACCTTTCAATCAGAATGTTTAACCCCTTGATTTATGATCTTAAGCCCCATTATTGGGATGATTTTAACTTTTAATATCTAAGGGAGTCTTTCCAAAGCTCCTCCAAAGCGCAGCTCAAGCATCTGGCTTTGTGATCTCCAACTGGAATAGCTTCCAGCACTGAGGAAAAAGAACATTTTTTTTTTTAGTACCTCTGGCCTTTTTTTTTTTTCTCTTAGTCTATTTTATCCCTGTTTATATTTATGCTTTCCTTTTTATTAGTCTTTTTTTCCATTCTGCGCCTTCCCTGATTTCTTGCTCGTTTGTGTAGTGGCTCTGTCATTGAATTTTCCCTTTGCAGAGCAAGTGTTTGGATAAAGAGGGATGTGGCTGATGGAAAACAAGTGGAATGCTCAGTCAGAGCATGACCTGCTGCTTCTGGGTTTCTTGGTGGCACTCCCAGGGCCTGTAGGGACTTCCTATTCCCCCTGGCTCCTTCTCCACAGGCAAAAAAATTCAGCTTATTGAGGGGGAAATACTTAACTTGTGTCCCTGCTCTTTGTGTTTGGAGAGGGAAAGAGAAACCTTCGTCTCCCAGTCCTGTCAGTCTGGTCCTTTCCCACTAAATCCACTTCAAATACATGGCTTTTTTTTGTAAAGCCATTTGAAAGACTTAATGGACTGTGATTTTTCTCGTTGTGGAAGAGCTGTAGTGAGGCTGAGAGTGACACTTAATAGTCTGTCGAGAGAAGATGTATAAAAACCCCCATCTCTGGGTGGTTTTTTTTAAGAGAACAGTGCTTTTGTTAGTCTGGGATTATTTCTGGCAGCATCACAAGCCTCACATTGGAGTGCTTCAGGCTTAACTTATATAAAAACACTTCTCTGGGTGTTTACATGAATGAATTGGTGCCTTTTCCTTGCTTTTCTCTCATCCTCCGCTGCCAGCTTGTGCTGACCCCCTCCTGGCTGCCTCAGATCCCTGATGTTTGCCCTCCTGGCAGCGGGAAATGTGACCCTGTCTGGTTTCTTTCCCACCAGCCATGTCCAAATCTGCAGTGAAGATCTCCTCAGACCTGCTGTCCAACCCCCTGTGTGAGCAGGAGCCCTCGTTCCTCGAGATGGTCACGGCCTTCGACACGGCCATGAAGAGGATGGACGCCTTCAACCAGGAGAAGGTGGATTGGCTTTGTCTGGAGATTGGGAGTGCTGGGAGTGTCCTGGAGGCTTGGAATGGTGGGAGTGTCCTGGAATCATGGGGTGGCTGGGGTTGGGGGGGATTTGAACCCATCTCATTTCACCCCTTGCCATGGGGAGTGTCCCAGGGGAGACTTTCTGAATTTCCACAATGTCCCAGGTTCCTCCAAGCTGGCCTTGGACATTTCCAGGGATGGAGCAGCCTCAGCTCCTCTGGGAATTCCATCCCAGCTTCTCCCCACCCTCCTAGGGAAGGGTTTCTTCCCAAAATCCCATCTAGGGATGGAGCAGCCACAGCTTCTCTGGGAATTCCGTCCCATCTTCTCTCCACCCTCCCACAGAAGGATTTCCTCCCAAAATCCCATCCAGGGACGGGGCAACCTCAGCTCCTCTGGGAATTCCATCCCACCCTCCCCAGGAAGGATTTCCTCCCAGAATCCCATCTGTGAATGGGGGCAGCCTCAGCTTCTCTGGGAATTCCATCTCAGCCTCTCAGGGATGGAATTCCTCCCAAAATCCCATCCAGGGCTGGGGCAACCACAGCTGCTCTGGGAATTCCATCCCACCCTCCCCAGGAAGGATTTCCTCCCAGAATCCCATCTGTGAATGGGGGCAGCCTCAGCTTCTCTGGGAATTCCATCTCAGCCTCTCAGGGATGGAATTCCTCCCAAAATCCCATCCAGGGCTGGGGCAACCACAGCTTCTCTGGGAATTCCATCCCAGCCTCTCCCCACCCTCCTAGGGAAGGATTTCCTCCCAAAATCCCATCTATGAATGGGGGCAGCCTCAGCTTCTCTGGGAATTCCATCCCAGCTTCTCCCCACCCTCCCAGGGAAGGATTTCTTCCCAAAATCCCATTTAGGAATGGGGCAGCCACAGCTTCTCTGAGAATTCCATCCCATCTTCTCTTCACCCTCCCAGGGAAGGATTTCTTCCCAAAATCCCACCCAGGGATGGAGCAGCCTCAGCTCCTCTGGGAATTCCATCCCACCCTCCCCAGGAAGGATTTCCTCCCAAAATCCCATCTATGAATGGGGGCAGCCTCAGCTCCTCTGGGAATTCCAACCCAGCCTCTCCTCATCCTCCCAGGGAAGGATTTCCTCCCAAACCCCATCCAGGGATGGAGCAGCCACAGCTTCTCTGGGAATTCCATCCCACCCTCTCAGGGAAGGAATTCCTCCCAAAATCCCACCCATCCCTGCCCTCTGGCAGTGGGAAGCCATTCCCTGTGTGCTGTCACTCCCTGCCATGTCCAGATTCCTCATTTCTCACCTCTTTCCCTTTTTATCATCATCCCCAAGACTTTGCCCACAGGAGTTTCTCTGATCTCCCTCTCCAGGCTGGGATTTCAGCTCCCATGGGAGAAATTCCCTCTCTTTTGGTTAAAGGACATCGTGGTTGTGCTCAGGGTCCCTCCCCACCCCATGGTGGGATCCCTACAAACCCAAATGGGATTTTCCAACAATCCTGACGTGCAATCCTCCCTTTTTTGCTTCCCACAGGTGAATCAGATCCAAAAGACAGTGATAGAGCCTTTGAAAAAGTGAGTACCAACCATCATCTCCTGGGGTTTGTCCTCATCTGGAGCTTTAGGGTCCTGGAGAGAGGCTGGAAATAATCCTCAAACAATCCTGCCCTGTCCTGCTGGCCACGCTGCTTTGGTCCCTTAATTAATAATAATTTTAACCTTTTTTACCACTTGGATCCACTGCTGCCTTCACCTATAGCTTAAAGAACTCCTGAGATATAAAATCATGGAACATCCTGGGCTAGAAGGGACCCCCAAAGGATGAATAATTCCATTTTCTCTGTTTATGTGTTGGTTTTTACCTCCAGCAAAGGAATAAAACCACCCAGAGATCATCCAGAGGGGTCAGAAATTGGCTGGTGGAACAAAATTTTATTTCATTTAGAAATTTTCCTAAGTAAAAGAGGAGAAAGTGGAAGTTCCTGCTTGTTTATAAATAATATTTATAAATAGTATTTATATTATTTGTTGGATAATGAGGGGTTGGAAATGAGGGGGAAAAGCCCAAATCCCACAGTTCTGTCACATTTATCTGCAAAATTTGCACCTTTCCCAGGGTCACAGCCTGTACCCCCAAACCTTTCAGGATAATTCAGTTCTCTCCCAAATATCCCCTTAAATCCCAAGATTTGCTGTTTTGTTACAGGAACAGAGCCAGCGAGCAAAAATAAAATGAAATTACTTTAATATGACAGTAAGTGTTGCAAATTGCTGAATAACAATTTCAGTTTAGGTTTGACACACACAGGGGTTGTCGTGGTTTAGTTGGTTTGTTTTTTTTTTTTTCCCCCTGAAGTTGTTGTTTCTGCCCAAATCTGAAAGTAAAATCTCATGGATCACTTAACACCTGAGGTTACAACATGTTCCTGTCTGGGGGATGTTTGGTGACTCAAGTTTTACCTTGGTCCTCTATCCACAACCAGAAATTCCTGCTTATTTAAGGGAAAAAAATAAGAAGAAAGAAAGAAAAAGGAAAAAAAAAATCCCAGCCTTTTGCTGTGGAATTGTGTTGCTTATTATCTAGATTGTCCTCATGAAAGATACATTAACTTTTTCTTCCAGCATTCTGTTAAAATTGGAAGAACTTGTGTTTCTGAGATATTCTGGGGTTTTTTTTTTTTCCCTCAGCTTGTGTTAGTTGGTGAAATGAAAGACAAATCCCTTTCCCTGCAAACCTGCTTTGGGTTTGAAATCCTGGGCTGGTGAATTCAGGACAGTAAATCCATTTCCATGTGCCCATGGGAGATGCTCTGAGGGCTGGAACCATGGCTAAACCTCTCCAATTTTGGAACAGGAACCTGCTCCAAGGCAAAGGGATCTCCTGGTCACCATGCCAGGGTGACCAGGACGTTCTCATGGCCAAAACTAATCCAGTTTTGGGATGTTTTGGTCAAAGGGATGTCCTGGTCACCATGCCAGGAATCTGCTCCAAGGCAAAGGGATGGTGCCATGCCACGGTGACCAGAACATTCCCATGGCCAAAACCTCTCCAGTTTTGGAATGTCTTGATGACCATGCCAGGAACCTGCTCCTTTGCATGGAGGACATGCCAGGGTGACCAGGACATTCCCATGGCCAAACCCCTCCAATTTTGGGAGCAGGAACCTGCTCCAAAGCAAAGGGATGTCCTGGTCACCATGCCAGGCTGGCCATGGACATTCCCATGGCCAAAACCTTTCCTGTTTTGGGAAGAGGAACCTGCTCCAAGTCAAAGGGATGTCCTGGTCACCATGCCAGGGTGACCAGGACGTTCTCATGGCCAAAACTAATCCAGTTTTGGGATGTTCTGGTCAAAGGGATCTCCTGGTCATCATGCCAGGAACCTACTCCAAGGCAAAGGGATGGTGGTGTTCCAGGATGACCAGGACATTCCCATCTCCAAACCTTCCCAGTTTGGGGTGTCCTGGTCAAAGGGATGTCCTGGGTCACCATGCCAGGGTGCCCAGGACATTCTCATGACCAAAACCTCTCCAATTTTAGGAACAGGACCTGCTTCAAGTCAAAGGGATGTCCTGGTCACCATGCCAGGGTGACCAGGACATTTCCATGGCCAAAACCTCTCCAATTTTGGAACAGGAGCCTGCTCCAAGGCAAAGGGATGTCCTGGTCACCATGCCACACTGGCCAGGACATTCCCATGGATAAAACCTTTCCAGTTTTGGGATGTCCTGGTCAAAGGGATGTCCTGCTCACTATGTCAGGGTGACAAGGACATTCCCATGGCCAAACCTCTCCAATTTTGGGATGTCCTGGTCACCATGCCAGGAACCTGCTCCAAGTCAAAGGGATGGTGCCATGCCAGAGTGACCAGGACATTCCCATGGCCAAACCCCTCCAATTTTGGGAGCAGAAACCTGCTCCAAAGCCAAGGGATGTCCTGGTCACCATGTCAGGCTGGCTAGGACATTCCTATGGCCAAAACCTCTCAAATCTTGGAACATGAACCTGCTCCAAGGCAAAGGGATGTCCTGGTCACCATGCCAGGCTGGCCAGGACATTCCCATCTCCAGATCTTTTCAGTTTGGGATGTCCTGGTCAAAGGGATGTCCTGGTCACCAGGACGTTCTCATGGCCAAAACCTTTCCTGTTTTGGGAAGAGGAACCTGCTCCAAGTCAAAGGGATGTCCTGGTCATCACGCCAGGGTGACCAGGACTTTCTCATGGCCAAAACTAATCCAGTTTTGGGATGTTCTGGTCAAAGGGATGTCCTGGTCACCATGCCAGGAATCTGCTCCAAGGCAAAGGGGTGGTGGTGTGCCAGGATGACCAGGACATTCCCATCTCCAAACCTTTCCAGTCTGGGGTGTCCTGGTCGAAGGGATGTCTTGGTCACCATGCCAGGGTGACCAGGACATTCTCATGGCCAAAACTAATCCAGTTTTGGGATGTTCTGGTTAAAGGGATGTCCTGGTCACCATGTTAGGGTGACAAGGACATTCCCATGGCCAAAACCTCTCCAGTTTTGGGATGTCCTGGTCACCATGCCAGGAACCTGCTCCTTGGCATGGAGGACATTCCAGGGTGACCGGGACGTTCTCATGGCCAAAACCTCTCCAGTTTTGGGATGTAGTGGTCAAAGGGATGTCCTGGTCACCATGCCAGGAATCTGCTCCAAGGCAAAGGGGTGGTGGTGTGCCAGGATGACCAGGACATTCCCATCTCCAAACCTTCCCAGTTTGGGGTGTCCTGGTCGAAGGGATGTCCTGGGTCACCATCCCAGGGTGCCCAGGACATTCCCATGGCCAAACCTCTCTCCAATTTTGGGATGTCCTGGTCAAAGGGATGTCCTGGTCACCGTGCCAGGAACCTGCTCCAAGTCGAAGGGATGTCCGGGTCACCATGCCAAGGTAACCAGGACATTCCCAATCTCCAATTTTGTGTGCGAGAGGAAAAGGCTCCAGGGAGACCTCAGAGTCCTAAAGGGGCTCCAGGAGAGCTGGAGAGGAACCTGGGACAAGGGACGGAGGGACAGCACACAGGGAATGGCTCCCACTGCCAGAGGGCAGGGATGGATGGGATTTCGGGGAGGAATTCCTGGCTTTGAGGGTGAGGAGGGGCTGGGATGGATTTCCCTGAGGATACCTCGTTTCTAGAAGTGTCTGAGGTGAGTTTGGAGCAACCTGGGACGGTGGAATGTGGGGAAGGGGTGGATCTGGGTGATCCTTCAGATCCCTTCCCACCCAGCCCATTCCATGTTTCCCTGACTCAGGACACTCCGTTATCTGCCCAGTCCTCAGTTCCACACCAGGGTGTTTACTCCAACCTCCTGGCTGCTTTCCATCCCAGCAATTCTCTCCAACTTTCTGCATTTCCACGATGAGAGGTTTATTTTTCCCCTTTTCCTGCCCTTTGGCACCTGCAAAGCTTCGCCCTGTGTGCCGTTAACCAGCTTATGTTCCATGCTGGGGGAGCTTCATCCCCACTCCAAGAACAAAACTGCTCCTTCCCTTCCCTCCTCCTTCCCTTTGTAGGTGCATCCCTGCCCAGGAACATTTCTGAGGAGCCCAAGGGTCCATTTTGAGGCTAATGAGATGCAGGAGAGAACTGCAGAGTGTGCACCTCCCTCCCTTTGTCCTGCTGGCAGATAAACCCCAGCACCAGTTCTGGCAGAAAAGTTCCAGATTAATGAAAGCTGCCTTGAGGAGCTCTTCTTATTTCCAGTTAGGTTTTCCTTCCCCTCTCTGAGGCAGCTCTCCCAAGCCTCTCCCAACTTTGCTCTGACCTAGAAAAAAAAAAGGCTTTTTAATTTTTTTATTTTTTTGCTCCGACAGCTGCACTTTATTACATCTTCACTGGTGGTCTTTTATAGTTTATTAGCCAAAGAAACAGATAAGTATAATCCAGACAATTATCATTAGTGGTAATATATTGTAATCAGAGGCACATGGGCAGTAAAATCTCCATTCAGTTGTCCAGGGATTGGAGTTTCCAGGCAAATATTGGGGAATTTGTTAAACCATGTTGAAAAAAAGCAGTAGTAGATTTAGTTGGGGGGGTGGAGGCTTTGTATTGTTTCAATCCTTCTGCTTCTGGGCTCGTAGGGTTTTTCACAATTTGGCTTTTTGAGCCCCAAGAAGCCTTTGGCTGGGAGTGACTCATTTATTTTCAGGGAAAGAGCAGAGCTCCAGTGAGAATATTGCATTTTTCAGGGGATGGGTTGGGCGAGGAGCTGGACAGGAGGGATGGGCTCCTCTTTGGGAGCTGCCTGTGGAATCTCACACCAGAGCAGCGGATTTGGGGCAGAAAGGGACAAAATCAGGTTTGGACTTCACTCTCCCAGTTCTTCCCAGTCAAGGCAGGGTCGGGGATTGGGGATGGAGTCTTAGTGTTCCATATTGTGTCCGTATTTAAGGAAGGAAGCGGCTTAAACGAGCCAGGTGGTTTGGAAATCCACAGGATTTAGAACCTTTCACGTTGGGAGAGGATTTCCAGGGCCACAGGTCTCAGTTTAACTGACTCTGTCTGACCCTCTCAGAGCAAGGGGGTGACCTGGTCACCTTGGCTTGGTGCCATTC